TCAGTGGTTCAACTGTAAAGTTACGAAGCTACGAGAATACTTTTTTTGCGCAAAGAAAACAAAAATAACAACTTTATTCCACATTTTCGTCTCTACTCCACTTGTGGACGCGCGTTCACGACAGTATCATGACGCGAGCGTGTGGCGGCGCGGACCCAGATCCGCCGTAATGACGTCATCACGCCGGATCTGGGTCAGCGCCAGCGCCGCCACACGCTCGCGTCATGGTACTGTCGTGAACGCGCGTCCAAAGTGATGCAGTAGAGACGAAAATGTGGGGAAGAAAAAAACAAAACAAGGTATTCTCGTAGCTTCGTAACTTTACAGTTGAACCACTGATGTCACACGGACTACTTTGTCGATCATCTTGGTACTTTTCTGGACCTTGGACGTGGTAGTTACCTTGCTGTCTATGGGAGGGTCAGAGAGCCCTCAGATTTCATCAAAAATATCTTAAATTGTGTTCCGAAGATGAACGAAGGTCTTACGGGTTTGGAACAACACAAGGGCGAGGAATTAGACAGAATTTTCATTTTTGGGTGAACTAAGAGATTGTAAATTTTTCAAAATTAAGATTTATACATTATCTGAAAGCTGAATAAATACGCTTTCCATTGATGTATAGTTTGTTAGGATTGGACAATATTTGGTCGAGATACAACTATTTGAAAATCTGGAATCTGAGGGTGCAAAAAAATCTAAATATTGAGAAAATTGCCTTTAAATTTGTCCAAATGAAGTCCTTAGCAATGCATATTACTAATCAAAAATTAAGTTTTGATCAAATATCTTCATGGAACATGATCTTTACTTAATATCCTGATGATTTTTGGCATAAAAGAAAAATCAATAATTTTGACCCATACAGTGTATTTTTGGCTATTGCTACAAATATACCCGTGCTACTTAAGACTGGTTTTGTGCTCCAGGGTCACACATTGAGAAGAACTCAGATTACAAATTCATGCAACTAAATCAAACAGCCTTATTGGGAGGATAAAGGTCACTTATTTATTTCGGTTATCTTAAAGTGCTAAACTGACGTGATTTTCCTCACCATGAATACAAATTTGATACAGTAAGGACATGGATTAGTACAGTTGTATTATACACTTTTATTATATTTTATATGTTTATAGAGCAGCATACTATAACATATATTATATGACAAATAATTTTATATGAATACATATTTCAATAAATTACTCATTATATAATTACTACAAAGGTAAAATTGAACAGATAATTTGTTTTGGGCTTATAATGAAAAATAGTATTATTGAAATATGTATTAACATAAAATTATTATTCATTAATTAATATATCTGAATGAATTAACATGTACCTGACGCATATCCAGGGGGGTGATAGTGGTGACATTACTGACAACAGACTTTCCGATAACAGTCTTGTAGAACTGCACCTGTGCTGTGATGTTGGCAACACGTATTGGGTAGTAATTATTGTTGGTGATGTTCAGGGTATTCTGAGAATGACAAAAAAAATACTCTTATTTCTTACAGTTAAATAAAAACACGGCAACAAAAACTAACAAAATACCCTGACTTTGCCAAAAGTCCCATCTGATCTCACTATCAAGTCCAATCCCTCCACACAAAGAACAGAATCACAAATTAAACAGGTATTTTTGATCAACAAGCCTGAAATACAAATGAAAAGGGTTTGCTACAGATATTACCGTGATATTTAGATAAATGATCCGCTGGTCTCGGTCGTATGTGACGTAGGCTGACTTCACCCCAACATAAGAGACATCAATAGCTCGAGGGAACAGGAAGAATACAGCCAAACCAGAAAGTAGCAGACACAGAACGACTGATAAAGACACGTACAATGTCCTGTGATAGCGCAAGAATATACAGTCAGTTATAAAATATAGTATATATCCAATGCTGATTTGAAATGGATATTAAAATTAACTTACGTTCGTCTTGGCTTCAGCCTCTGGTCACTGTATGGTATCAGAGCAACTAGCTGGTTTTCTTGGTCTGTGAGAAAGTCCAGGATAGGAAGTACACATAATTACATTTTTACAAGTCCAAATAATGATTTATTCAAGCAATTTATTGATGCCACTGAGATAAAGACCAATGTATTAACGTTAAACATTTTGTTTCAGCTATACGTTCATATTACATATAAAGTGATGGATGGACGGATCTGTTCTCACCTCTAGGTATCCTCCCCGTCCCTTGACAAGAAGGACAGGTGATGCTGTCTCTGCCTGTGAATTCAACATATGGAAACTGTGACACGTCATGTTTATTGTCCTCAGTGGGAGACTCTGTGTTTTCAGTCAGGTTCTCCTGCTCCTCTTTTTGCTTTGGCAAGGAAAACAGAGACTTCCCCATGGTTTGCCCTGCCTTCAAAGAAAGAAATGTAGTGAATTACAGTGCAAGTCATGAAAGATCACTCATATCTAGATGTTTATGCAGTGGTGAACTTGAGCATATCATGCACGTGACAAAGTATAACACTGCAGGCTGTTTTATAATGTCATTCTGTCTATAAAATATACATTATTTTTTATATATTATGATGTTAACAACATATTCTGGCTGAGGACACAGCGTACGGCCGACAATCTCATGTTCTTGATAGGGTGTAATATTGATGCTTTTGCAATGCAAAATTAAAATGCACTTACTTGACTTCATATTAACGCATTTAGATCGATGCATTTAAAAAGTATTATTAACACGCACGCGACGAACATGGATCGTGATGTAACAGCAAATGGGCCTAAAACAGATCGAAATGACTCTTATTTTAAGGTTCGATATGACAATATAGCGAATAGGATAGGAATCAATGTATTTTACCTTCGATTGAAGGGTCCTGCCTTCTGTTTGTATAAAATTACAGTTGCTATATCGTCGTTACTCTGTTCCAACAATGTTGATATTGTCCCCCACCCGTATTCTAAGAAGCCCCGCCTCCTGCATTAATAAGCGGCATGACTGTAGATCGTGGACGTTGTGTGATTGGACGATAGCTACGTGCGACACTATTACAAGCCAATCATATTGGAGAAGGCGGGATTTGCTACTAAGCCCCGCCCCACTGTTTATAGTTGCAGCTCAAGCTTCAAGGCCGTGTGTGCTGTTAAAACGTGCAATGTTTTGCTCTGGGTGTAATTTCCTTTATTTACTAAAACGACTGTTGATATGCACGTTGCGCTAGATATGCTCATGATTAGAACTAAAAATTAAAACATTGCATCTTAAAAGTAAAATAATATATATACGAAACGTTACTAATAAGGACTTACCTAGAAACATAGATATGAAATATCTGTTTACTTAATCTACTTACAAGCATAATGATTGACAGCTTTCATCAAATATGCTGTGACAGGAAGGGAAACATTTGGCTGGACAGATAGAAAGGAACAGTACAGATTCGTTTTTTCCCCCCCAATACAAAGAAGAAGAAAAAACTATTATTTGACTCCTGAGTTTTTTTGTGCAAGCAAAATGAGAAAAGTATGAGTAGGCATGTGGTTAACACTTCTCAAATTGATTTCCTGATAATAGTTATCATCAGACAATCCATCAAAAAAGTGACCGTGTACACACAGTGAACAGAGGAAATTTATCATTTACAAATATATATTATATATCCAGAAAAGTACCAAGATGATCGACAAAGTAGTCTGTGTGACATCAGTGGTTCAACCGTAAAGTTACGAAGCTACGAGAATACTTTTTTGCACAAAGAAAACAAAAATAATGACTTTAATCCACATTTTCGTCTCTACTGCATCACTTGTGGACGCGCGTTCACGACAGTACCATGACGCGAGTGTGTGGCGGCGCTGACCCAGATCCAGCGTAATGACGTCATCACGCCGGATCTGGGTCAGCGCCAGCGCCGCCACACGCTCGCGTCATGGTACTGTCGTGAACGCGCGTCCAAAGTGATGCAGTAGAGACGAAAATGTGGGGAAGAAAAAAACAAAACAAGGTATTCTCGTAGCTTCGTAACTTTACAGTTGAACCACTGATGTCACACGGACTACTTTGTCGATCATCTTGGTACTTTTCTGGACCTTGGACGTGGTAGTTACCTTGCTGTCTATGGGAGGGTCAGAGAGCCCTCAGATTTCATCAAAAATATCTTAAATTGTGTTCCGAAGATGAACGAAGGTCTTACGGGTTTGGAACAACACAAGGGCGAGGAATTAGACAGAATTTTCATTTTTGGGTGAACTAAGAGATTGTAAATTTTTCAAAATTAAGATTTATACATTATCTGAAAGCTGAATAAATACGCTTTCCATTGATGTATAGTTTGTTAGGATTGGACAATATTTGGTCGAGATACAACTATTTGAAAATCTGGAATCTGAGGGTGCAAAAAAATCTAAATATTGAGAAAATTGCCTTTAAATTTGTCCAAATGAAGTCCTTAGCAATGCATATTACTAATCAAAAATTAAGTTTTGATCAAATATCTTCATGGAACATGATCTTTACTTAATATCCTGATGATTTTTGGCATAAAAGAAAAATCAATAATTTTGACCCATACAGTGTATTTTTGGCTATTGCTACAAATATACCCGTGCTACTTAAGACTGGTTTTGTGCTCCAGGGTCACACATTGAGAAGAACTCAGATTACAAATTCATGCAACTAAATCAAACAGCCTTATTGGGAGGATAAAGGTCACTTATTTATTTCGGTTATCTTAAAGTGCTAAACTGACGTGATTTTCCTCACCATGAATACAAATTTGATACAGTAAGGACATGGATTAGTACAGTTGTATTATACACTTTTATTATATTTTATATGTTTATAGAGCAGCATACTATAACATATATTATATGACAAATAATTTTATATGAATACATATTTCAATAAATTACTCATTATATAATTACTACAAAGGTAAAATTGAACAGATAATTTGTTTTGGGCTTATAATGAAAAATAGTATTATTGAAATATGTATTAACATAAAATTATTATTCATTAATTAATATATCTGAATGAATTAACATGTACCTGACGCATATCCAGGGGGGTGATAGTGGTGACATTACTGACAACAGACTTTCCGATAACAGTCTTGTAGAACTGCACCTGTGCTGTGATGTTGGCAACACGTATTGGGTAGTAATTATTGTTGGTGATGTTCAGGGTATTCTGAGAATGACAAAAAAAATACTCTTATTTCTTACAGTTAAATAAAAACACGGCAACAAAAACTAACAAAATACCCTGACTTTGCCAAAAGTCCCATCTGATCTCACTATCAAGTCCAATCCCTCCACACAAAGAACAGAATCACAAATTAAACAGGTATTTTTGATCAACAAGCCTGAAATACAAATGAAAAGGGTTTGCTACAGATATTACCGTGATATTTAGATAAATGATCCGCTGGTCTCGGTCGTATGTGACGTAGGCTGACTTCACCCCAACATAAGAGACATCAATAGCTCGAGGGAACAGGAAGAATACAGCCAAACCAGAAAGTAGCAGACACAGAACGACTGATAAAGACACGTACAATGTCCTGTGATAGCGCAAGAATATACAGTCAGTTATAAAATATAGTATATATCCAATGCTGATTTGAAATGGATATTAAAATTAACTTACGTTCGTCTTGGCTTCAGCCTCTGGTCACTGTATGGTATCAGAGCAACTAGCTGGTTTTCTTGGTCTGTGAGAAAGTCCAGGATAGGAAGTACACATAATTACATTTTTACAAGTCCAAATAATGATTTATTCAAGCAATTTATTGATGCCACTGAGATAAAGACCAATGTATTAACGTTAAACATTTAGTTTCAGCTATACGTTCATATTACATATAAAGTGATGGATGGACGGATCTGTTCTCACCTCTAGGTATCCTCCCCGTCCCTTGACAAGAAGGACAGGTGATGCTGTCTCTGCCTGTGAATTCAACATAAGGAAACTGTGACACGTCATGTTTATTGTCCTCAGTGGGAGACTCTGTGTTTTCAGTCAGGTTCTCCTGCTCCTCTTTTTGCTTTGGCAAGGAAAACAGAGACTTCCCCATGGTTTGCCCTGCCTTCAAAGAAAGAAATGTAGTGAATTACAGTGCAAGTCATGAAAGATCACTCATATCTAGATGTTTATGCAGTGGTGAACTTGAACATATCATGCACGTGACAAAGTATAACACTGCAGGCTGTTTTATAATGTCATTCTGTCTATAAAATATACATTATTTTTTATATATTATGATGTTAACAACATATTCTGGCTGAGGACACAGCGTACGGCCGACAATCTCATGTTCTTGATAGGGTGTAATATTGATGCTTTTGCAATGCAAAATTAAAATGCACTTACTTGACTTCATATTAACGCATTTAGATCGATGCATTTAAAAAGTATTATTAACACGCACGCGACGAACATGGATCGTGATGTAACAGCAAATGGGCCTAAAACAGATCGAAATGACTCTTATTTTAAGGTTCGATATGACAATATAGCGAATAGGATAGGAATCAATGTATTTTACCTTCGATTGAAGGGTCCTGCCTTCTGTTTGTATAAAATTACAGTTGCTATATCGTCGTTACTCTGTTCCAACAATGTTGATATTGTCCCCCACCCGTATTCTAAGAAGCCCCGCCTCCTGCATTAATAAGCGGCATGACTGTAGATCGTGGACGTTGTGTGATTGGACGATAGCTACGTGCGACACTATTACAAGCCAATCATATTGGAGAAGGCGGGATTTGCTACTAAGCCCCGCCCCACTGTTTATAGTTGCAGCTCAAGCTTCAAGGCCGTGTGTGCTGTTAAAACGTGCAATGTTTTGCTCTGGGTGTAATTTCCTTTATTTACTAAAACGACTGTTGATATGCACGTTGCGCTAGATATGCTCATGATTAGAACTAAAAATTAAAACATTGCATCTTAAAAGTAAAATAATATATATACGAAACGTTACTAATAAGGACTTACCTAGAAACATAGATATGAAATATCTGTTTACTTAATCTACTTACAAGCATAATGATTGACAGCTTTCATCAAATATGCTGTGACAGGAAGGGAAACATTTGGCTGGACAGATAGAAAGGAACAGTACAGATTCGTTTTTTCCCCCCCAATACAAAGAAGAAGAAAAAACTATTATTTGACTCCTGAGTTTTTTTGTGCAAGCAAAATGAGAAAAGTATGAGTAGGCATGTGGTTAACACTTCTCAAATTGATTTCCTGATAATAGTTATCATCAGACAATCCATCAAAAAAGTGACCGTGTACACACAGTGAACAGAGGAAATTTATCATTTACAAATATATATTATATATGTGTAGGCCATAACAATGTTTTCTTATATCTGTACTTTACATTTAAAAATGTTTCTACTGAAAATGTAAAAGTTATCTGCCTATATTGTAACTGACTCGAAAACATTCGAAAATAAACCTACACTGAGAAATAATCACATCTAGCCATAGTGTTCCTCTATATATTTGTTATTGATTGATTTTATAGAATTACAAATACATCCAGGGGCTAGGCTACATTAGGATAAGCAAAGATACATAAATAATAATAATATTAATATAAAATCAAAGGATAGAAATAAAGTTTAAAAATATTCAAATGTTTGCAAATAGAATGCATTTACAGCGTTCTTATTTTTCAAATATAAAATTATTTTTTTAGATATTGCTAAACTTCTGTCTTTAAAACTGAAATAAAAGTTTAAAAATGTACAAAAAAACATCCATGTCAGTGTTCCCCTGTGTAGGCCTATATGTGATCATCATGAAACTGAAGAGGATCTGTTTATCATGGCCACATGGCGAATGAGTTCTTCTGTGTTTACTAACTAAATAACTTTAGGAGTTAACCGAGACATTGTTAAATTAGATTCGAGAATCTAACTAGGTTACTTGGCAAAGACATGGGAAGTATCAAAACTTGTAATCTTGGCGATCATTAACTCGGCCTTCAGAGACTGGCAGTGGAATAAACCATTTCTCTCGCCAAACGTGGATTACAGGGCGTTGTAATATGAAACGTTTTGGGTTAATCTTGTCAAACCGGATGCGCAGTCACAGAATACTGCTCCAGAATACCGTATATTATTGTTCAGGAACCAAATGAAATGTATAAAAGTCCGTATTTTTAAATACGCAAACTATTGTTCTCTTTTGGACCCCTATGATCTTACGCGCATTTTGCTTGCAGTGGCCCCGCCGAACTCACCTGAGTTTCGGGTTACACGTTCATACCTCACTGAAGGAGGAATCGGAGGGCGCACCATAAAACCAAGAAGAAGAAGAAGAACGGAGGGCGCAACAAAATACAGCTGCAGTGTCGACACTTACTCGGATTTTCTTTACATACTTTTGAGGAAGTTAACGTTGGATGCTTTTAAAGCTCATATGTTTTGAAAGATTTTGAGAAAATATGTCGCAGGGTATAATCTTTACCCTCCTCTTGATCACAGGTAGGGGCGTTCTTCTTATGCTAATGCTTTGTGGTCACTTCTTCGTCAGTAAGTTTATGTGTGTAGAAAAATATCAATAGATGATCAGATTTAATTTTTTTCATGAATTCATGGAGGCCATATTCACCTATCAGTTGATATATAATTTGTCTCATAATTTATTAAAATTGAGTGGCCAAGGGCTTTAATAAGTGTTTGTTCATTATTAATCCTTCACTTATATTCATATTACTATAGTAACCAGCATCTAAATATCCGATTATGAGTACAAATACAAATCCTTTTTGATATATATCTCAGGTATTCACACATGTTGTGCAATATGGTTCCACTTTGTCTTATTCGAATTTGCTTAAAGATGTCATATTATGCCCCTTTTTACAATATGTAATATACGTCTCAGGGGTCCCCAGAATGTGTCTGTGAAGTTTCAGCTCAAAATACCCCACAGATCATTTATTATATCATTTTTAAAATGCCTATTTTGAGGGGAAGCGGAAACATGCTGTATTAGAGCATGTCTCTTTAAATGCAAATTAGCTGCTGCTCCCCGCCCCCTTTTCCAGAATAGAGCTGCGGCATTACAGCTCGTACCTGCTAAAAACATCTGTTTTGATTCTGGTTGTCATGTTTATCCCGTTGAAATCATGCGTTTTAAACCATATTAGTTTAAAGCGGTCATATGATGTTGCTAAAAAGAACATTATTTTGTGTATTTGGTGTAATGAAATGTGTTTATGCGGTTTAAGGTTCAAAAAACACATTATTTTCCCCATACTGTACGTTATTGTTTCTCCTGTATGCCCCGCCTTTCTGAAATGTGTCGATTTTTACGAAGCTCATCGGTCTGAAAAGCGAGGTGTGCTCTGATTGGCCAGCTATCCAGTGCGTTGTGATTGGCCGAATACCTCAAGCTTGTGACGGAAATGTTACGCCCCTTACCATACTGTGATGCCGTGTCCCAGCCGGAGCGATGATTCAAAAACATGAAAACCCATTATAAACGAGGCATTTGTTGCATCCAGTGGGGACATAATTACGGATTATAATGTCTTATACTGTCTTTTTACGCGTTGCATTGCATCGTGCCGTGTAAACCTAAAACCATGTCTGCATTTGTGATCGGAGAAATGACAAACAACAAGCGCTACTCTACAATGCTCAAAACTCATGTTTGAATCGTCAGTGGCAAATTCTTTAAATATAAAAAATTTACTTACAGTCTTTGAGTCAGAACAGCCGGCATTGTAGTCTACTCTCCCAGGA